TACTTGTATTGATAGCCAAATTTAAAATATTAAGCATGCAAGTGGAATAATTCTATATGGTTTGGAATTGATAGATATTTGTTTTGTGGGCCTTAAATATATCTTCTCTCTACAGAATCAAATAAAATTAGGATGAAATAACTTTAGCTTTTCTAGGCAAAAAGATACCAGCTCATGAAGCCAGGGAAACTGTACATATGTGTCATATGATTTTAACTAACAATTGATAAAAGCCAAATTTGTTAATTGAGAGTGAATGAGAATGAAAGCAGAAGCAGAAACAGTTGTATTAACAAACTAGCAATATTAGAATAAAGAAGGTTTTCCCAGGTTGGAAAACAGAGAGTCAAGCACAAATAAGACCAACAAATATGTGTATTTATCCAGTAAGGATGACAAATAGATGCAACTCACTTGTAAAGAGAGGCTTTTTTACATAGTTTGAAAATAACACATTTGTTAATGAATACATCAAAAATCTCACAGGACATCCATGAAGCCTGTTTACTGATGACATGTTGATACAGTCTGGTCTATGTGAAACTAGAGAGAATTCAGAACTGCCAAACTAAACTGAGATCGGACCTATTTCTCTTTACCTAATTCTCATTTCTGTATTTCTTTTCTGCTAAAGTCAACTTAAAACATTAGTGTGGAGAAGGAAATGGATGATTTATCTTTTCTTCATGAGTTACATATTATCCATAAATTCCTTTTTATCTTTATTAATAATATAGCATTTTAAAGTATTATAATTTGAGTTACTTTTTATGATTCTCTTACTACTATTAAATTCTTTCATTCATAGTAAATATTTCTTATAAAAAAAGTTTGTAATGCATGGTAAACATGACGGAATTGCTTTGATTTTTGTGCTAAACTGATTAAATACAGATATATATAGTGATTCTATAAAATTGAACTATATGTGTACATATGTAGTCAACAATTTTATAGTATTTACATTATTAATCTCTCTTTTTTTTCCTTTTTTTTCTACTTTTGCCTCATTTTAGCTGTCTATACTTCTCTACCTTAACAGGGGTTGGGGAGGGTAATATGAATTTGTGTATAATTATAATTTTAAAACATTTAGTGTTTACATATATTTTCATTTTTTGTGCTAAACTCATTGAGATGTACAAGGTTTATTCCTGTCTCAGCATACATTGCAAGGACAGTGCGATAAATATTTTAGTGATTTGACTACAGACATTTGTTTTATTTCATTGGTACTTTGAGTATATTGTCATTTGTATATAGGAAAAGCAAATGCTCAATAAAATAGTCATGAACGTGTACTTGTCTCATCCCTAAAATACTAGTAAATTTATATGTTTAACAAAATGACTGTTAAAACAATAGAACCATAAATGCAGAGTCTTAATGTGGTAGAACTTAATGTTTGTTGCTTCTTCTTTTTTTTTTTTTTGATTATAGGCCTAGTTGCTTGAGATTTACATAAAACTTTGAAAGTCATGTGCAAATCGTATATGTTTGGTGGCAAACCTCATTGCATTTTGAGGCGAATTTTTGGGGAACAACAATTTAACTTAAAAGAAAATTTACAATTTTTTTTACCACAAATAAGGCCCAGATTTTCAGTCTTTAAATTATGTTTAATTATAGTCTATTGGAATTGTGAATTATAAAGAAAAAAAAGATGTAAACACAAACTTAAGTATATATATTTTAGCCATGTGCTTTTATGACTGAAGATGTAAATATAGAATTCAGATCTTTTAATATCCATGTCATTTTCTAGATTATATATGAAAGAGTAAATGCTGCTATATTTGTAAAGAGTACCTTGAATATAAGGCATTTTTTTTAGACAGACTGGGGCAAATATTATATTTTAATGAGTCTGACTAGAAAAATTAATTCACTAATAATATTTATTGCCAAAATGAGAAAGACTGTTGATATAAATTATTACTATAAATACCTCTGAAATATGTAGATTATTGAAAGAAAATTTAGAGAGATAAGGAGATACTCATCTTTAGAAGAAATATTTGAAAACAGTTTATGAATTTAATTTTTATAGTTAGTGATCATTATTTTCTTAAAAAAATTTTATCTATAGGAAGAATTCATCTAACTTGATAGATCCTTCTGTATTCTTAAGAACTATGCTGGTACCACATTCTGTGAATAGAAAAGGTAGTGATTATTTCATATGACAGCCAACAGCAGTATCAAATACTAGTATCCAGAGGGACCCGTTTCCATATAGAATGCTTACTACTGAGGAAAAGTTAAGGCACTGAGAAGAATGGAGAATTATTTAACTTAAAAATCATAAGTAAAACTTGTTAAAATTATTTTGGGTAGTTTAAGATAAAACAGATTGTTCTTTAACCGTAATAGTATTCTAACTAATATATGACTGACGTAAGTACTAAATGAAAAGTTGCTGTAATTACTGTAATTAGTACTCAAGATTTGGGGCAAAAAGAAATACCTACAATCCGAACAACTTTGTGCACAATGGAAGATGAATTAGTTTTCTAATATTATGTAAGAAATTATCACAAATTTAGCAGCTTTAAACAGCTTTTATTAACTGTCAGTTCTGTAGATCAGAAGTCCAGGCATTGTGACTGGCTTCTTGCTCAGAGTCTTGTAGGTCTAAAATCAAGGTATCAACTAGACTAGATTTGTTTCAGGAGGCTGCGGAGAAGAATCTTCTTGCAGGCTCATTCAGGTTCCTCAGCGTTTTAGAACTGAGGTCCCCATTTCCTTGCCGACTGTCAGCCACTGACTGCTCTTAGCTTCTAGAAGCTCCCTACATCCATTGACAAGAGCCTCCTCTGCTTTCAAAGCCAGTAATAAAGACTCTCCCTCCTATTAAATCCCTCTCACATTTTGAATTTCTTAAGTTTAAGAAGGATTCAGGTTTTTTTATGAGTTCGTTTAATTAGGTTAGGCCCACCCAAATAATTTGCCTTTTGATTAACTCAAAGCAAACTAACTAATCCCCAGAGTTATATCCCATCAGGTTCCATACACTCAAGGGAGAGGATTGTACAAGGGTCAGGAGCATCCGGGATCATTTTACAATTCTGCTTACCACAGCGGAAGTGACATCACTGGTGTGAAATCAGTAAGGGAACAGACAGAGTTTAACATATTGAGTAGGTAAACAGAGGACTAGAGAATTAGTTGATTGTGAGGGACTTAGATTACGGGAAGTGAAAGACATAGAGAAGAGGAAAAGGCAGAAAACTATAACTGAAAGAGAAAGGAAGAGAGGAAAAAAAGTGTAGAGTTTAGTCTAAAATGTCATGATTTCATAGACCCAAGTAAACTCTATATTGCGCAGTCTGATGGGATATAACAAAGGAATGAATACAGTGAGATTTGTCCTATTTGGGAAAATAAGTACGCATACATAAGAGATTAGATGTTGGGAAGGGGCAAAGGGATGAATGATGCTGCTTACAAAGTAATGAAACTCTTGGTTTCTTCATGACCTCACTGCAAATATGAAGTTCATTGTTGTGTAGCATATCTCCTAAATTATGAAAAATAATGAGGCTTTGCTACAGTAAAAACTGCTGTCCTGATATTAAGAATATGTAAAAGTTACACTGCAAAATTGTCAGATATCCTGCTATGCACATCACCTCATGTGTTCTGAGTCTAATTTAGGGCTTTTAAAATATTTTCAATAAAGTTATGTTAGAAATTGAATAAGGGATTTTTCAAAGTTTTTTTTTTTTTCTTTATTAGAATTTGACAACAGATTTTCATGCCCTGAAGCCCATAATTATCTTAGTTCTTAGGTTTTTTTGAGTGGTTGAATGACTTCTCATTTTATAAATATCATTGTGGGTGTCATCTCATTGCTGATTCTCAACTGGATGAGTATAAGAACACTTTTTTCTCTGCAATGCCAGTTTGCCCTTCCCCTCAGTTCTCTCTCCAACATTCTAATAAAAAGAAAGAGAGATAGTATTAATAACATATTTTAGCATTTCAAAATGTGAAAAGATTCCATGCCTAAAATACTTGGAAGCCATTTTGTACTATACTTTCCCTTTACAAATTTAAAATTCATGTTGGTGTACTCAGTTACTGAGAAGTCCTACAACATTTTTTTGTATTTTAATATAATATTTTCATTAGTGCTAATAGTTCCTTTATAACAAAGAACAGAGACTGTTATTTTGACCTCATTTTACTTTTCAGGCTCATTTAAGAGTTGAGGTAATTTCATAATTCCAGTTCATGTGAAACTTTGAGCTTGTATTGGATGCCTTTTCTTCAGAAGTTACAGGCCCAAATAATAAGCAGTTAATAAGATCATTTTTGTCAGCTTGGTTTCTAAAGCATTAGGAATAAAAGAACATTTAAAAAGCTATAAATGGTGTGTGGTGTGGTCTGCTAATTGACATTTCAAAGATGAATGAGAAAAGCTGATAACTTCCTTTTATATTAATCCACTTCTATGTCTTTTATCCTCACATTTCTTTTTCCTCAGCTGTCTTAATACCCTTTCATATTTTGCTATATATAAAATTAATGGAAAACCTTAAATAATTAGTTGAATGTGGCTCTGTAGTTCGTATTTTAAAATTAGAGGAATTTTAATCATTATTTTTATTTTTAAAAATAGAATTATAGTGTTTGTTTTTATTTTAACATGACTTATATTTGATAGCTTCTCAGAACATAGAATCATAACTCAGCTTTATTGTGATTTGAGGAATCTAAAAGAGTTGGTAGTTGACATTTCAGTCATTAAATTTAAAAAGACTAATTTTCTATGTTCTTTCAAATATGTATACACACAGATTTTTATTCAGTAATGTTAAACTAATCTTTTTTTCTGGATAAATTCGGACAGAGTGGTATTTGGCTTGTATTATATGAGACATATTTAACACTTTTCAGAGGTAAAATGTGAATAGTAATCATGCATTTTTTTTGAAACCTATAATTTTTGAAATGTTTGTTCTAAATGTATGTCTATGTCTATGTTTTTGCTTTAGGAGTACAAGATCCCCAGCATGAGAGAATTATCACTGTGTCTACTAATGGAAGTATTCACAGCCCAAGGTTTCCTCATACTTATCCAAGAAATATGGTGTTGGTATGGAGATTAGTAGCAGTGGAGGAAAATGTATGGATACAACTTACATTTGATGAAAGATTTGGGCTTGAAGACCCAGAAGATGACATATGCAAGTAAGTTCCCATACATGAAATTTCAACACAGAATAACAACTGTTAAAATCTTCCTTCATTTTGATGATCTGATTTTAAATGCTATCTGTTTTGTTTTATTTTTCTGATGATCTAAGAAATTTACAAACTTTTTAAGCTATGTTTCACTTAAAGTCTTCATAATCAGAAGATACATATATGTACATACATAGTCATGACTTTCTACCTTCTTCTAAAACGATTTGAGATAATTTACAATAAAAAGCATATATAGAGTAAAACCATTGATAATAAGGAATAGAGAATGAAAAGCTATATAAAAGAATGTAGTTATACCAGAAAACCTGATTTGCCGTTAGTGCTAAAAATCTTATATTCCTGATAGCCAAATCAATAATATAAACAATAAGCTATTAAAAGAAAAAGCTGTATCCATGGATACATATTACCTAGATACACATATGGATACATACACACACACAGAGGACTAAAAAGTCTGAAAGTTCCTTATCACAAAGAAAAATATAGTTCTGAAAGCAGAATTAGAAATTTAGACTACCATTATGCCTTGCCAGGTAGGAATTCATCATAATTCTCCTAGAAGCATTCATGAACCAAAGTCAGCTGGAGTATTTCACCCACACGAAAGACCACCTACTGTATGTCAGACAAATATTACTCTTGAAATCCCATATGAATACACTTGTCAAGGTTGGGTGGTCTTACTGAAGATTTTTCACTTCAGTGGCATTTGTATAACATGAAAATATTTTACTTGAACTTCTCTCGTGGGTTTTTTTATTTTCTCTTTGATATACAAGTTAAAAGAGAATTTTCATTTCATGGTATATTACAGATAAATACTTCAATGCAGATGAAATAAACTTTGTACTTGCTGTCATCACAATTTGTATCTTTAGCATTTACATAGTTACATTTTTTTTCACATTTGTTCTTTCTGTGACTGTGAATTTCATGTTGTTTTATTCCTTATAATTTTAGACTTTTAGAACTAGAAGCTATCCTATCTTTAGCAGGCTGTGTAGTTTAACTCTTCGTTTTACAGATAAAGAAACAGAGACCAGAGTATGATAGTTGCCCTAGATTTCATTGGTTTGTTTTAGTTTGTTTTGTACCTAAACAAATGCTAAAACCCATTTTTCTAACACCTATTTAAGGTAGTTTTTCAAAGTTCTACCGCACCCATTGACTTTTCTTTATAAATAAGATTTTCTAAACTTTTCAAAAATTACAGAGTCTAAGACTTTCCTTTCAAAGTAGTTAGTTAGATTATGATAGTTTCATGGCTGCTGACAGAAGATAAAAGACTCCTGGGTCAGAGAAAAGGACTTTCTTACAACAGTAGCAGTAGCTAGAATATCAGCACTTTCTTGTGCCTTCTCCCCAAGTTCCATTTTCCACAGATCAGCACCAAGAGGGCTATGTGATACCTGAATACCCAGTGGTTGTGTTATGGAAGAACAAGTGTTATATGTGTGCATATATATATATATGTACATATTTATGTGTGTATATAATATATTAGTTAAATAATCCTACATGCCTCATCCAGCATGTGACACAACTACACCCAGCATGCAACTGTAACTTAGGAAAAGTGACACTTCTATTAGTTATGAAGTCCCCAACCAATATTGCTTGCTGATTAAACCTTTTACTTGTCCCTGTAAATATAATCATTGTTCTAAATCCTGATTTTCTTTATAATATTACAACATATACATACTTCCCTATGAACTGTCTTATAAAAAGTTTAGTTTTGCCTGTTTTGAAATATGTATCAATGGAATAATACTGTGGTTTTTTTGTGATTTGATATACATTTCAAAACAAAACTAAAAAATACTATGTTTTTAAAATTAGTTCATGTTGAGGCAGGTGGCTTATTCGATCCTTTGTTTTCCTTGATGTATAGTATTTCATTTAATAAATAATCGACTTTTTTGGTCTCTTCTACTTTTATGAGCACTTGGCTCATTTCCAACTGTTTCATGAACATTTGGCTTGTTTTCAGTTCTCCTTTTGCAAAAGTGCAAGAAAACTTTGAGTCTATTCTATATATATTTGTTTTCATTTGTTTTGTACCTAAACAAATGCTAAACCCCATTTTCCTGACACCTATTTAAGGTAGTTTTTCAAAGTTCTACCACACCCATTGACTTTTATTTATAAATAAGATTTCTTAAACTTTTCAAAAGTTTAAAAAATCTTTTAATGGTTTTGCTGTCTTAAAATATTTATATTTTCAACTTTACTGGCCAGAGTTAAATTGTTTTTTAAAATGACTGTTTACCCTTCTCCTAACAATATACAAAATTTTCTGTTGCAGAGAATGCTCACTAACTTTTCAACTGTCCTTTTAAAAAAAAAAAAACGTGGTTACATGGTAGGTGTGAAATTATACCTTATTATTAGTTCTAATTTGTTTTTCTCATTAATAAGGCTGAGTTTCATATTTATTACTAGTCATTGATATTTCCTATTTCCTTTTCTAGGAAATGACTGTTCATATCTTTTGCTTAATTTTTTTTTTTTTTTTTGAGACAGTCTTGCTCTGTCGCCCTGGCTAGAATACAGTGGTGTCATCATTTTTGCCTAGTTTTTGCCTATTTGGTTATTTGAATTTTGCCTTTCATTTTCCTTAGTTCTTGTGGAATTTTTTTTTGTCTGTGGTGTGAGATTTTTCAGTGGGTTATGCAATGGTGTCCCAACATCATTTACTGAATAGTCATTCTTTTTTCCAATGAAGTGCAATGCCAGCTAACTTGCAGATTAGGTTTCTTTATAGGGTCTGCTGTGTTTCTGGATCTTGTTTGTTAGTTTGGTCAGTTTTGTCTGTCTTAATTGAAGGACATTGTCTTAATTACTGTAACGTTATAGAAGCTTTGTGATAAGGAAGTCTGACCTTATTTTCTTCTCCTTTAGGAGCATCCTGGCTATTTTGCTTTTTAATATATCCTTTAGAAAAAGGTTGTAAAGTTCCTTGAAAACTTTACCTTTCTCTACTAGGGCTTTGTTTAATGTCTACACAGTTTTAAAATTTCTTCATAAATATGTTGCATATCCATTGTTTGGATTTATTTCTATATATCATGTGGACTGCTATTCAAATCTCTTTTGGATACTACATTTTCTAATTTTATATTGCTGGTATGTAGAAATACAATAAATTTTTTGGTATTGATCTTGTGTCTAGAGAATGTATTAATAAGCTCTTTTTTATTTTAATAGTTCTGGAAATTATTTTGGATTTATGCAAAAAGTATGGTTTGTGAAAAAAATGTTTCTTTCAATTCTTTTATTGTTTCTTTTGTATCTCTTATTATGTTATTGATTGTATTTGTACCTATCTTTGTCTTCTTCCTTATTTTAGAGGGTTTGTTTTTTGGTAAATAAACTTTAAGATTTAGAGTAACTTTAGATTTACAGATATGTTACAAAGGTAGTATAGAGAATTTCTGTGTATTCTTAACTTAGGTTCCTCCAATGTTAACATTGCATATAACCATGACACATTTGCATAACTAGGAAATTAATATTCATACAGTATTATTAACCTGCCCACAGATGCTATTTGGATATGAGCAGTTTTTCCACACTATGACTTTTTTCTGTTTCAAGATCCTTTCCAGGCTAAACTGATTGCATTTAGTTGTAATATACTTTAAAAGCGTGTGAATTTTGATTTGTAACAGCCTATTACTCAATTGTTTTAGTATCTATTTGTGAGTCCTACTTTTCAAGTCAGTTATGCGTTTTATATTTTCTAGGCATTTTTCCATTTCATTTCAGTTTTCAGATTTATTGGCATTAGGGTTTTCACAATATGTCCTTATTATTTTAATTTCTGCTTTGTTTCTAATTATGTCCCTTGTTTTATTCCTAATACTGTTTTTGTGCTCACTCTGTTTTGTTTTGTTTTTGTTTCCTTGCTTAGTCTTGCCTATGATTTGGTTTATTCGTTGTTCTTTGAAAGAAACAAATTTTGGGTCTGTTTATGACTGTTAAAGAATGATATTTTTAAAAGGTAATATCATGACTTGTATACAGATTCTAAATGAACACATATTAAAGATTCTATTTAACTTAATAGGGGAATCAGTCTGATTTTACAATCAGTTCAATAACAATCCAAATAACAAACCCATGTATAGATCAGTAATATTGAAATAAATGTGCAAGTGAAGGCAAAACTGCCTGCTTCTGCCGTGGGGAGGAAAGTCAATTGAACCTCCCCTGGACATAGTTTATTTATATGTAAATAGACAGAGAATTATTTTGTATTTGGCTTACTCATCTGTACCTTACTGAGTTGTAAAATAGATCAAAGGCAATGAAAGGTGCAGATCCCCCATAACTTGGAATTAAATAACCCAGAAGGTAGTTATTTATAGTATAAATTATGAATAATGATTCACAAAGCAGTTTTTCTCTACATGGCTAGCGTCTATGTATATTTTTAAAATTTATTTTTCTATATTCGTTATGTCTTTTATTCTCTTCTGTTATGGATTACTTTTTTTTTTTTCTTTTTCTATGGGGGGCTTGAGGAAGGGGATTAAGTTTCCTTTTTTTTTTTTTTTTTTTTTTTTTAAGACAGAGTCTCACTCTGTTGCCCTGGCTAGAGTATAGTGGCATCATCACAGCTCACTGCAATCTCAAACTCCTGGACTCAAATGATCCTCTTACCTCAGCCTCCTGAGTAGCTGAGACTACAGGTGCGAACTACCACACCTGGCTAATTTCTTCTGTTTTTAGTAGAGTGGGGGGCTCACTCTTGCTCAGGCTAATCTCGAACTCCAGAGCTCAAGCAATCCTCCCACCTCAACCTCCCAGAGTGTTAGGATTAAGGTGTGAGCCACCATGCCTGGCCTGTTATGGCTTATTTTCTAATTTCTGACATTGAATGTTATTTTAATATTTTTTAAAATATTCATATGAATGAAGTAATTTCCTCATAGATATCCTATTTTAGATGCACTCTGCCAATTTTGATAATG